TTATCTCTCTTCTCTCTATGTCTCTCTCGCTCATCTCTTTTCTCTCTATCTCTCTCTCTGTCTCTCTCGTTCATCTCTCTTCTCTATCTGTCTCTTTTTCTGTCTCTCACTTTCTATCTCTTTATCCTTTTGTCTCTCTTTCTTCTCTCTCTTCTTTCTCTCTCTCCTCCACTGTGTTCGCGTTGCTCACTCTCTTCCTTCCGTGTTCTCTATTTACTGAGCTCCGTCTCGATTTATCTATTCACTACAAGAAAATACACTTTTAGTGACCACTTTGTCTCTCTCTTGCTCATCACACTGTCTCTGTCTATCTCTCTCTCTCTATCTCTCTCCCCAGACAGAGAGACAGTGCTCCGCGAGGAGGGAGGAGGGTTGTGTTAACTTAGAGGAAAGACAGACTATTGATTGATTTGGGCGTGGGTTTGGTAGGGGTTTAGGGTTGACTTAGTGAATTAGTAGTGGTAGTAGTAGTAGAGACTAGAGATGGAGATGGAGTTGGAGGTGAGAGTAGTTGCAGGGATTGAGAGCTGCTTCGTCTCTCTCCCGCTGCTTCTCCTTCAAACCCTACAGCAAACTCGCTCCTCAGGGTCTCTCCCCCACTTTCTCGCACTCGAGCTTCGCTCTCCCAACCAACATCTCTGGCACGTTGCCTGGTCTGGCTCTGCTTCTTCTTCCTCCTCAATTGAGGTACCTACCTACCTACCTCTATATCTTATTCCTCAATTTAAACTTCATTTTGATTGTTTTTTTGGTCTTTGTTATTATTTATGTAGTTTGTTTTCAAATACTACGTCTTTTCTGAATTTCAAATTTTTTACTTGTGGGGTTTTTTCCCCAAGTATCTTTACAAGTAAATACATTAGCTTTGCTACTATCTTTTGTTTTGTTTGATATACAATTGAGTTTCAATGTCGTCAACTGAATATCTTCAGGTTTTGATTTGCTAGTTTTGTGCTCCTACTAGGTCCCAAAAAAAAAAAAACTATTTGCCTTTACTTTCAGTTTCAGAAACTAGTTTTCCTTTTTAGAAAATTCTGATGATGGAGTCAGTCATGAGTTTTGAATGAAACACAGGTATCGGATGACAAAGCAATTACATAATTTAGGGATTTTATTATTCTTTTTCTTTATATTTCATTTTCTAGTTTTATTTCTAGTTTATTTATTTATTTATTAAATTACTTCTTCTTCTTATTTTGCTTCTAAACCATTTTGGTATCAGACCCAGGTTGAGTTCATCACACTGCCATTTTTCAGTTGTTTCTTTAACTTCAATTTTTGCAAAACATGGAAAACTGTCTAGAATAATTTTTGTCAAAATGTGCATGAAACACATGTATTGCGTGTGCATCTTCTTCAACTATCATATAAGACAATCAAGATGGAAACACTCAGTTTGTTTATGAAAGAAAATGTACTGCATTGTTTTCACTAGGTTTCATACAATGATGTTTCTCGGTTTCTATATTGGTAAGAGCTCTTATAAGTAAATTTTCTCATTTATTTTATTTTCTTTAAATGCGAATGTAGATTGCTCAACAATATGCAGAATGCATTTGTCTGCCAGATCATACTACTGTTCAAGTGCGAGCTGTTGCTAATCTTCCTAAAGCTACTCTGGTCACGATAGAGCCCCACACCGAAGATGATTGGGAAGTTTTGGAGCTTAATTCGGAGCATGCAGAGGCAGCTATTCTAAATCAGGTGAAAAATGGCTAAGATTTGTTGATTTGGGGTTTGAGTGGATAAGTTAGAGGTCATAGGCTTTGGGCTTTTGAAGGGGTTTAAAAAGTTTGGTTTTTAAAGTAGTTGGTCATGGAGCTTTCAGATTTAACAGTTGCAGGAAATTCTGTAAAGAACGAATTTTAGGGAGTGGGTGTTAGATTAAATGTTAAAAGGTAGGAGAAGGGGCTTGCTAGGCTAGGGTTTGGTAATGAGCCTGGGGCTCTTTGATGGTTGTAAATAGTGAATCCATAAACAGGAATGTTGCTGTTAAAGAAAGCAGTTGAAGAAGAAGGATTGATGTAATCGAACAAGAAAGAGGTCAAGTCTGGAATTTTGTATAGACCATATTTTGGGTTTTGGCTAATGAAGTTTATGGTGAGTTTGAGTCCGAATTTCGTGTCTCATATAAGTTGGCTGTTTGCTAGTTTTTTAAATATATGTTTTATTAGGTCTTATGAGTTGGGGTTATTTTGGTGAGTTCCATATTTAGACAAGGCTTTGGTCTACAGGTAGTGTTTGTAACGCCTCAATCCCTTCACACGTCATCGATATTGTCCGCTTTGGGCCATACCCGCACGGATTTGTTCTTTCCAGGGGGTCACCCATCCCAGAACTGCTCCAGCCTAAGCACGCTTAACTAGGGAGTTCTGTTAGGGATTTCACCACCTGGAAAAAGGCCTCAATGCTATATAAGGGTTTAGGTTTTTACTTTTATAGCTTAGGAACTCTCCCTCCATTCCCGATGTGGAACACCGGGACCTTACAATCACTTCCCTTTAGGGCTGCACGTCCCTGTGCAATAGCCTGCCAGCTCACAAGCCCGCCCACATGCATCGAGAGACGCCAGGGGCCCACACTCGGTACTCCGGAGAGTCGGCTCTGATACCATTTGTAACGCCCCAGCCCTTCACACGTCATCGATATTGTCCGCTTTGTGCTTACGCCCGCACGGATTTTATTCTTTTCAGTGGGTCACCCATCCTAGAATTGCTCCAGCCTAAGCACGCTTAACTGGAGAGTTCTACTAAAGATTTTACCACCCGGGAAAAGGCCTCGATGCTATATAAGGGTCCAGGTTTTTACTTTTATAACCTAGGAATTCCTTTTCCATTCCCGATGTGGGATACCGGGACCTTACAATATACTGTCACGTCCCAAAATTTGGACAATTAAATATTAAATTAAGATTAAACCCTAATTAATATTCCATCATCCAAATCCTAGGGGTGAAACAAAAAAACTAAATGTTCTTGTCACCATAAGGTTTAAGTAAATTCAATGCTTAAAAAAAACAAGGGATATAAAAAAAATAATAATAATAAACGCCAACCAAACTATCCATCATAGATTTATAACTATCCAACACCTCCAACATTAAAGTAACAGCAACTAGTCAAAATAACTTAAATAATGTAAAGTTGAAAAATAACCCTCATTGTCAAATTGTCAAAATACTAAGGAAGACATGTCCTACGAGCATAGTTATTTCTCGTCACCACTGTAGCCCTAACTAATCTTGCAAAGGAAGTTCGGCTGTGTTCAAACAGAACGCACCTGAGTTGCCAAAAGACAAAACGGATCAATATATAAGTATACTAATATGAGTATAAGATTTGATACCCACGTGTCTACCAGATACAAACAAAAGTACATTTAATTATTGTTACGGGACAAGACAAGTAGTTCCATCCGTACCGAAACGAATAGATAATTTCCCGAGATACGGTGACATTTAGTTTATTGCCCGTACAACTAAATATAAATTGAGTATAAAATAAATGAAATAAAAATATAGTGGGTCAGCCCTGCATAAAAAGTTAAAAAAAAAGAGTAAAGTTAGTATAATTTAATCATAAGTCAATTACTAAAGAAGTATAAAAACACCCTGTTTCATGTTTAAATAATTCGAATTGACCAAAACTCAAAGAACAAAAGTTATACAAAATCGAATTTACTAAAAGTGACGTGGACGAATTTAGTAGAAACTGAACAGGTTGGGAGAAAAACTTAATAGAAGAATATAGACGAAATTCGATCAAAAAATCTGGAACTGAAAACTGAAAGAAACTGCCTTAAGATGATTTTTTTGAGAAAAGTTCAAAACACGAAAAGTGTTTAGAATAATGTTTTACTTCAGTTTATGCGAAATAAAAATGAGCTCGTTTCGTGGGTTAAAACAGCATTTAAAATTTGCATTGCTAAAATGAATAAAAACTATTGTAAACAAGATCAACCGATTACAGATTCTAATTGATCTTTTTAGCACAATAACATTTATTTGGACTAGCCGTTAGGTTTTTTTCAATTTTTTCCAGTCATCCATTGGCAAGCTGCAACTATTAGATATCTTCACAATAGCTTGAGGGGGAGTGTTGAATATAGAAATTAAAGTACATAGAATCTTTTTATTTTTAGTATTATATATATAATCTGTGATTGTGTCAATCACTGATTTAGTATTGTTTTCTTATTTATATTATTTCCTTATTTATATCGTTTCCTAAATTATATGATAAATCTATTATATATACATGACTTCTACCTCATTCATGAGAAAAGCCAAATAATTCTTTTCATTCTTTTGAATCCCCCTCAGCGGCACTGCTTTTTGGGATCTTTGCAACATCATTGCCACTAGTAACCTGTGATACAACTTTAGCTGGTGTTGAAGCACTTAAAGTTATATCTTTAGGACCACTTGGGGTTGGACTTGGAGAGGTAGGTGGCTTCCAATCCTCGTAACTGTCGATATCATGAAATCAGTAGTTAACAAGCTGCTCTCCTTTTATGAGTTTGAAAGGCGGAAAGAATTATCATACACTGGGTGAGGAGAAAGAAATTGTTATCTGTAGTTCTATTGCAGCAGATTTCAATTGGCTGCCATTGCTAGCTTTAGCTCTAATGATGGACATAACAATGCGTCAATGTAATTAACATTTCTCCAACCATTAGATGGGTTAGGGGTTGGGGATGCAAGTGGTTTTAAATCCTTGTAAACACAATAATGATGACGATTATGATAATGACAACACAGGAGAGTTGATGATCCCCAGAGACCGAATTATCTTTGACTTTTACATGAATTTGAGTGCATTGTGTATTGGATAGTTCTTGCAGTATTTATATAAGTTTGTGTAAAACACTTGATCAAGCTAATGCATCAGAATATTCATAAACATGTCAAATTTCTACTTTTATCAGGTGACCAATGATCTGTTTGCAGCAGACTACTGAATTGTAGAATATCTATCATACAATGGAATGATTTTATACTGTGGGTGTTAAAACCCCAGTGTTGAAAACAGAAAACAAATAAATAACCAATAAAGTGATTAAGGTTAATGAAGGTAACACAAGGAAAATTAACATACTTTGCATAAGGTGACAGAGGAGTTTTTTTCTTCACTTCTGTCTGGACATTTTCCTTTTCAGTTACAGTGCTTGGGGATTCTGAAATGTTAATTTGTGTAGATGAAGGGGCAATCTTCAATGCTGATGAAATTCCCTCTACATGGCTTGCTTGAGTAGCACCAGCAGAAGTGCTGGGGGTTGGAGTAGGAGATGTAGGTGGTTTCAAATCCTCATAGCTTTGGAAAGGGAGGGAACAAGAAAAAGAACAAAAAAATAAAAGCACGACTTAATTTTGTCACCATATGTATATATTTTTAATTACAGATATTTATTTTTATTTTTTTGATATTCAATATTTTTAATTACAGACATAATAGACAAAGATGGCTCACACAATATAAGGAGAAAGAGGACTTGCTGCCACTGCTTTTTCTATGGCAGGTTCTTTCTCAACAGGAGCGCTCAGCGGAGGCTCAGATACAACACTCTTAGAAGATTGAGGCCCACCTGCAGTATCTGATTCCTGATAGTACCCCAAAAGAAATTGCAAGTTCTCTGGAAATTAGTTTCATCAAATCGTAGTCTGAATGTGAGCTGTATAGCAAGGTGAAAGGAGAATTTAAAGAAGCCTTTACAATTCTCCAAAATCAAAAACTACAGCTCTTAATGCCTCAAAAGCTTAATGCAATTCTTGTGTCCTAAAACCCATGTTTTCACACAACTGTTGAATTGGGACTGGAGACTTTGTTTAGATGAATTGAGCTACATATTTTTTCAAAGTTCTAAATTACTGTTAATCGATTGCATTTTCAAATTTGTTGTGATACAATGTAAGATTCTGAATAAACTTTTTGTATTCAATTGCATAGTAATTATAGGCCTAATCCTAAATAGGAAACCAGAATAAGCCTAAAAATAAAATATTCACACAGTCTAACACAATTTAAAATATTCACACAAATATATATATATATATACTAATATTCTCACAATGTGATAGCTTAATACCATATCAAGACAGGCAAACACACTATTAGCTAGAGATGAACCTTGGTTAGGTAAGACAGTACTTCCTCTCATCAAAGGAAGACACAAATAAAGAAGATAGCAGTACTACTTCCAAATTATATGGCCTTTCTATTATAAAGGTAGTGATTTCCTTTTAGGTTTCAGATTTTCACTTAAAACAGTACAAAACTGGATAGTGGCCCATTGACTAGAAAGTTGAATTAGTATGCACTTTCAAAGGAACGATACATGCCGAGAGCAGAATTAGGATTAACCTTTGTATGAAGTATGCTATATTTTTTCTCGTGTATACATAAACTAGAATGGTTACATGTAGAAAATCAATATGCAATTTTAAAGGAATAATAGATGTTGAATTAGGATTTGCCCTATATAGCATATACTATTTTTTCCATAAACAAACTTGGATGAGTACTTCGGCAGTTCAGCCTCTCAACTTCTCAGACTCAATTTTGTAAAAAATAATTACTTGGACGGTTGGCTTTATGTCTTTTTGGCAGGAAATGAAAGAAAATTACCTTCAGTGGCTTAATCTCAACACGTTGAGATGGAATCTTCACAAGGAGCTCTCCCACAGGAGTCAATGGTGCAGTTGTTTCTGCAATAACTTCGACCACCTTACAATATGAAATGCTACGCTTTTTTGCCATAAATGCCATGAGTTCTGCCACCTGTCAGTTATCAACAAAAAGTCACTTTTGTTGCTGACTGGCCCAAGTCTATTCAACATGTAAGATAGAAAAGTTTGGTTTGATTTTCAATAATAATGATTAACTATATTGCAGATATCGAATTGAATATATATACCTTCTGAGTTACTCATCAAATAAATTGTAACCCATTCTGATTATGTTCAAATCTAATTGGATACTAAATCTTGTTGGTTGGACATACCAGATAAGTACATGTATAACCACTCATAATTTCGTTGCTTTCAATTCTACCCGCTTATAGATTGTTAGAATTTACCTACACCTACCACCACCTACTACCACACCTACTACACCTACCACCAATTTACCCTCACCTACTCCTCACCTACTACCCAAACTTGAGGTACCTACCTACCTACCTCTATATCTTATTCCTCAATTTAAACTTCATTTTGATTGTTTTTTTGGTCTTTGTTATTATTTATGTAGTTTGTTTTCAAATACTACGTCTTTTCTGAATTTCAAATTTTTTACTTGTGGGGTTTTTTCCCCAAGTATCTTTACAAGTAAATACATTAGCTTTGCTACTATCTTTTGTTTTGTTTGATATACAATTGAGTTTCAATGTCGTCAACTGAATATCTTCAGGTTTTGATTTGCTAGTTTTGTGCTCCTACTAGGTCCCAAAAAAAAAAAAACTATTTGCCTTTACTTTCAGTTTCAGAAACTAGTTTTCCTTTTTAGAAAATTCTGATGATGGAGTCAGTCATGAGTTTTGAATGAAACACAGGTATCGGATGACAAAGCAATTACATAATTTAGGGATTTTATTATTCTTTTTCTTTATATTTCATTTTCTAGTTTTATTTCTAGTTTATTTATTTATTTATTAAATTACTTCTTCTTCTTATTTTGCTTCTAAACCATTTTGGTATCAGACCCAGGTTGAGTTCATCACACTGCCATTTTTCAGTTGTTTCTTGAACTTCAATTTTTGCAAAACATGGAAAACTGTCTGGAATAATTTTTGTCAAAATGTGCATGAAACACATGTATTGCGTGTGCATCTTCTTCAACTATCATATAAGACAATCAAGATGGAAACACTCAGTTTGTTTATGAAAGAAAATGTACTGCATTGTTTTCACTAGGTTTCATACAATGATGTTTCTCGGTTTCTATATTGGTAAGAGCTCTTATAAGTAAATTTTCTCATTTATTTTATTTTCTTTAAATGCGAATGTAGATTGCTCAACAATATGCAGAATGCATTTGTCTGCCAGATCATACTACTGTTCAAGTGCGAGCTGTTGCTAATCTTCCTAAAGCTACTCTGGTCACGATAGAACCCCACACCGAAGATGATTGGGAAGTTTTGGAGCTTAATTCGGAGCATGCAGAGGCAGCTATTCTAAATCAGGTGAAAAATGGCTAAGATTTGTTGATTTGGGGTTTGAGTAGATAAGTTAGAGGTCATAGGCTTTGGGCTTTTGAAGGGGTTTAAAAAGTTTGGTTTTTAAAGTAGTTGGTCATGGAGCTTTCAGATTTAACAGTTGCAGGAAATTCTGTAAAGAACGAATTTTAGGGAGTGGGTGTTAGATTAAATGTTAAAAGGTAGGAGAAGGGGCTTGCTAGGCTAGGGTTTGGTGATGAGCCTGGGGCTCTTTGATGGTTGTAAATAGTGAATCCATAAACAGGAATGTTGCTGTTAAAGAAAGCAGTTGAAGAAGAAGGATCGATGTAATCGAACAAGAAAGAGGTCAAGTCTGGAATTTTGTATAGACCATATTTTGGGTTTTGGCTAATGAAGTTTATGGTGAGTTTGAGTCCGAATTTCGTGTCTCATATAAGTTGGCTGTTTGCTAGTTTTTTAAATATATGTTTTATTAGGTCTTATGAGTTGGGGTTATTTTGGTGAGTTCCATATTTAGACAAGGCTGTAGGTTTGGTCTACAGGTAGTGTTTGTAACGCCTCAACCCCTTCACACGTCATCGATATTGTCCGCTTTGGGCCATACCCGCACGGATTTGTTCTTTCCAGGGGGTCACCCATCCCAGAACTGCTCCAGCCTAAGCACGCTTAACTAGGGAGTTCTGTTAGGGATTTCACCACCTGGAAAAAGGCCTCAATGCTATATAAGGGTTTAGGTTTTTACTTTTATAGCTTAAGAACTCTCCCTCCATTCCCGATGTGGGACACCGGGACCTTACAATCACTTCCCTTTAGGGCTGCACGTCCCCGTGCAATAGCCTGCCAGCTCACAAGCCCGCCCACATGTATCGAGAGACGCCAGGGGCCCACAATCGGTACTCCGGAGAGTCGGCTCTGATACCATTTGTAACGCCCCAGCCCTTCACACGTTATCGATATTGTCCGCTTTGTGCTTACGCCCGCACGGATTTTATTCTTTTCAGTGGGTCACCCATCCTAGAATTGCTCCAGCCTAAGCACGCTTAACTGGAGAGTTCTACTAAAGATTTTACCACCCGGGAAAAGGCCTCGATGCTATATAAGGGTCCAGGTTTTTACTTTTATAACCTAGGAATTCCTTTTCCATTCCCGATGTGGGATACCGGGACCTTACAATATACTGTCACGTCCCAAAATTTGGACAATTAAATATTAAATTAGGATTAAACCCTAATTAATATTCCATCATCCAAATCCTAGGGGTGAAACAAAAAAACTAAATGTTCTTGTCACCATAAGGTTTAAGTAAATTCAATGCTTAAAAAAAACAAGGGATATAAAAAAAATAATAATAATAAACGCCAACCAAACTATCCATCATAGATTTATAACTATCCAACACCTCCAACATTAAAGTAACAGCAACTAGTCAAAATAACTTAAATAATGTAAAGTTGAAAAATAACCCTCATTGTCAAATTGTCAAAATACTAAGGAAGACATGTCCTACGAGCATAGTTATTTCTCGTCACCACTGTAGCCCTAACTAATCTTGCAAAGGAAGTTCGGCTGTGTTCAAACAGAACGCACCTGTGTTGCCAAAAGACAAAACGGGTCAATATATAAGTATACTAATATGAGTATAAGATTTGATACCCACGTGTCTACCAAATACAAACAAAAGTACATTTAATTATTGTTACGGGCATAGTTGTCAAATCAGGATTCGTATCGTGAATCGAAATGGCCTCGTACCGAATCGCGAATCGAATCGAATCGTGAATCGTAAAGATTCGGTCACTTTTTCTAAATTACTTAAAAACATATATCTACATATTTAAATGTTAAATATATCTTATGAATATAAAATATTTATACTTAAATCAACAAAAATGTTATTTTGAATGATAATCGCGTAATTTAATAGGTAAGAAGTTAATAAAGGTTCCTATGTAAAATCACTATCTTACCTTTTTTTTTATTTTTTAGATATTTTTTATCAACCATTCTTAATAAAAATAATAACCAAATAGACAAATTATTAATTTCTAAAGTAACAATAGTTTACAACGATATTGATATTTGGACAATAAGTATATATACTTTTCTAAGTAAGAGTGAACAAATAATAAGAAAGAATTATTTAGGATATTTTATTTTAAAGCCTAAAACATTTTAAAAAGTATAACTGACCCCACACATGTAATATTCAATTTAATAAAATAGTAATAGATAATTCATAGTGTAACTTTAATCTTAAATATCTTTAGAAGATATATTACAATTTTTTGAAGGGGAAAAAAATGAGAAGTTAAAAATATGTTAGGTCTGACTGAATCTGACTGAATCCTATAAAAAACTCCATGATCACTAAAATAACAACAAATCATATATACATGTTGGTTATTTTGGTATTAAATGTTATTAGAAGTTGTATTATGTCATTTTCACTCAAAAGATGGAAAAAATGAGTCGAAAACAATAATTTCAAAAATTGCATGAATCGTAAAAAGTGAATCGAATCGTGAATCGATTGTGAATCGTGTGATTCACTAGAGATTCACTTCCAAAATGGATTCACTCATAGATTCGTATCGATTTTGCAAAAATTGCGTATCGAATCGTGAATCGAATCGCGAATCGTAAGATTCTGATAACAGAGGTTACGGGACAAGACAAGTAGTTCCATCCGCACCGAAACGAATAGATAATTTCCCGAGATACGGTGACATTTAGTTTATTGCCCGTACAACTAAATATAAATTGAGTATAAAATAAATGAAATAAAAATAAAAATATGGTGGGTTAGCCCTGCATAAAAAGTTAAAAAAAAAAAGTAAAGTTAGTATAATTTAATCATAAGTCAATTACTAAAGAAGTATAAAAACACCCTGTTTCATGTTTAAATAATTCGAATTGACCAAAACTCAAAGAACAAAAGTTATACAAAATCGAATTTACTAAAAGTGACGTGGACGAATTTAGTAGAAACTGAACAGGTTGGGAGAAAAACTTAATAGAAGAATATAGACGAAATTCGATCAAAAAATCTGGAACTGAAAACTGAAAGAAACTGCCTTAAGATGATTTTTTTGAGAAAAGTTCAAAACACGAAAAGTGTTTAGAATAATGTTTTACTTCAGTTTATGCGAAATAAAAATGAGCTCGTTTCGTGGGTTAAAACAGCATTTAAAATTTGCATTGCTAAAATGAATAAAAACTATTGTAAACAAGATCAACCGATTACAGATTCTAATTGATCTTTTTAGCACAAAGTTAAAATACAAAAATTGTCAAGAATTACATATACACGCCTCTGCCCAAATTTCATAACTTATCAAGGTTGTTTACTATTTTTTGAGATGTATAAATCAAAGCAATTCAACCTATACCAAGAAGTTCATATTTAATTCTTTGTACCTTAATTCCACCACTTGGGCCCTTTACTTCCGGCCTACACATATATCCCATGTGCCTCCCGTATATTTGACACTACTCCAAAGCTAAATTTGTCCCGGGGATATCGCCCCGAGTTTGACCCACACTCCCCGTATGGTTAGCATATACGTACGCGCGTAAATCAAAGTACTCGTCTACTCATGAAAAAGATGCAACAATATATATATACAAAATCTCTCATCTACTCATGAGAACAAACATAACAATGTTAAGCTTAAGGCATTTAAATAAATCTCATAATCTTCATTTTCACTCTTTCTCACCAATACTCAAATAAAACATTAATCCATGGAGTCATGGTGAAGTATAAGAAATTTATCTATGGGTTCTAAGTTTATTTTAATTTTATATATCCATGAGTGTGATTACAACCATAAAATAAATATATATAAAAATCATAAACCTGACATACACAACTAATTAAAATAATTAAAATCAATCTATCATCTTTATATAAATACAAAATCAAACCAATATCAAATAAATATAAATAAATAAAAACAACAAATTAAATATAAATTAAGGGAAGTGGGTTTTGTACTCACAATATTTTTTTGAAGATCAAAGAATCACTTAAACAATTAATTGAGCCACCAAAACCCTAATCGTTTTTTCTCCTTTTCTCCTCTGCCGTCCCTGTCTCTCTCTCTGTCGACTTGTTGCTGTGAGCCCTTATTTATTTATTTTATTTATTTATTTATTTTTTTTCAATCCCTCTTTGTGGCTGCTTCTCCTCTTGGAACTTCACTTTTGTGTTTAAACCCAGGTATAGTACATTATATCTAATTTACTATTATATTTATATTATACAAATATAACATACATAAATATGATATATATTTTATCAATATATAAAATATATTGTTTTTTTATATATAAAATATAATAATATATAAATATTCAAATTAATTATATATAATTAACTATCACATTAAATTAATTAAACAACATATTAAATTAACTAAATATCACATTAAATTCTCATGTAACCAAACAATTAATGAAGTCCAAAAATAAAATAAGGTAATAATAATAATAATCAATCATGACTTAAGAAAATTAGGGTCGCTACAGTGTTTTGTCAAGTTATATTTTTCAGTCTTACATTATGTTGGGTTTAGATTATTTGGACTATTCAAATAATGATATTTCCTATTTTTGGAGTTATGATCTTAGTACAAGTGATGCAGAATGATTAGGGACAACAGCAATAGTGGGTTTTTGGGGTTGGTTTTAATTGGATTTATAGCTGAAATTGCAATAAGGTGGCTTTTTCTACATGGACAATACCTTGAGATGTTATCTTCTTACTGGATGCTAATTTGGGGAGGGGTAAAGTTTGATGGAATGGTGCTTTATGCTCATGTGGGCAGCAAGGAATTGTGCTTACCTCCTATTGTTGCATTGTACAAGAGATTTGGGGATTGGTATTCCCATTGTTTGAAGTTGAATGGGTGATGCTCATGATAGTTAGGAAGCTATTTACTTGTTGGAGCGGGGGAAGAGGTAAACTAGAGGAAAAGATAGGAGGGCTTGGGAGGCTGCTCTTTATATTTGACATGGTGCTTTTGGAGATATGGGAACATGAATATTTTGAAGGCTTGGAGTGTTTTATTCATTGTTTGAGAGAAATGTCAGTTGTCTCATAGTATTTTTGGCTTAGAATTGCTTTTCCTTTCTCTTTGCATTCTTTTGTTGATTTTTTGGGGGTCCGGTATTTCCCTGTAAACACATATATGGGACATTTATATGAAACGGATTTTTGTATACGTCACTTTGTGCCCTTAATTTTTGGTGATATCTCTAATAAAAATGCTACCTGGAAAAAATTGAGCTTTCACATGTTCTGTTAACTGCTGTTTGAGTTATTTAAAATTGTTACAATTTATCATATGCTACCTTTTTTTTTTTTTGGTACCTTTCTCTCTCTCTCCTAGAAACTTATATTTTTTTTTTAGCCATGCTGTTGAATTTTTTTTTTGTACCTTTCTCTCTCCCCTTGAAACTTATATGTTTTTTTTAGCCATGCTGTTGAAAGTACTGGAGAGTTGTCCCCTTAATTAAACATTGATATAAATTTTTTGTAAACTTTTTACTGATAGGCAACTGTTACAACATGCAGGTTGGGATTGTTCATGAATCTATGAGATTTCCTTTGTGGTTGCATGGTCGAACTATCATTGTGTTTTTTGTAGCTTCTACCCTTCCTAAGAATCCAGTAGGTAAGAAGATACCTACCACTTGCATGTTATTTATATGCTCGTACTTGCTATATAGTTATGCTTAAGCTGATAGACCTGGTCATGTGTTGGATGATTGTCACTTTCCTCACACATGAAGCAACACGTGATTCTACTTTATTTTGTTTGTAAATGGCACAACCTGATGGTCATGTTTATCATCTTTTGAATAATTTAAAATCAGAGTGCAAGTGATGGTGCATGACTTGGAATGAGGTCTGGAGCACTACGAACCCTATGTTATGTGAGCTTCTGCCAAGGGTTGGCTCTTATGAAATACATCTCTTCTTTAGATCCCACATCCTGTAACAAAAATCTTCATTTCCATCGCTCACAAAAATACATGGAGCACTTTATCTTTAAGCTTCGATATCTGCTGCTTGGATACATGTGCAAAAGATTTGCAGCAAAACACTCCTAGGCTGGAGTAACAAACATCCTTGCCGGACCAAACCCTTTCTGGTTTCTCAAAATTTAGGGAGTTGATGGTGATCCATTGATTAGGTAACAGGTAGTGTGAACAACTTTACCCCAAAATGGTTTGGGCAATTTAGTCATTTTGAGCATGCGTTTAACTTTCTACATAATGGTATGGTTCATCCTTTCTACAACATCATTGTGCTGTGGGGGTGCTAGAAACATTCTTCTCATGACGGATACCATGATTAGTATACTATACTTCAAACTCATTAGAAGTGTACTTTTCTCCATTATTTGTACGGATACACTTTAATAGTTTTCCAGTCCCTCTATCCACCATGGCATGAAATCTCTGAAAATGCTGAAACACCCGCTCTTTTGTCTTCATGAAATACACTCACACTTTTCATGAAACATCATCAATAAAGGTTATAAAATATCTATCGATATCTAATGTCTCCATCTTTTCGGGACCACATACATCAAAGTAAACTATACTCGACAACTTTGATCTTCTTTTAGCAATGGAACAAAAAGTGGGTTTGTGATGCTTACCGAATAGACAATAATCACCAGGGTTTGGGCAATACCTTTGGCAAAGGGAATAATGAACTTCTAAATTCAGGACTAGCAAGATGTTGCACATTGCATATTTTCATTTGTATTTTATTACAATTAGATACATGCATCGCAAAATTATGTCTGACTTGTGATGTTTTTGTAGTGCAACTGGTGCCGGGTACTGAAGTTGCTGTTGCTCCAAAGAGGCGGAAAAAAATCAATGACTCTTACGAGGATTCCTCCACACAATCTTCAAATAAGGAGCACTCTATGGGAAAGGCACTACTGCGTGTCCAGGATCCGGATGGTAGATTGATGCACAAGTGTGAGATCAATGGTGTTGAGATGGGGGTGGTGCTCACTTCTGTCATCTTCTCAAGGAAAAGTTGGGCGGTGGAAAGAAGAAAAAGAGAAAAAAAATATATATATATATATATATATAAGATAAAGAATGTTTGGACGGTGGAAAATGTGATGATGGTTTTGGGTGGTGCTAAAACTAAGGTGAAAGAAAAATAAATAAAGAAAGAAATAATATTAAGATACAACCCCGCAGCATCATGACCTTTGGAGAAGAATCTCACTCCAACAATCTTCCTATTACAACTCCTCGAACTGAATGTATCTCCGATCTAACAAACCCCTTTCCACCAACTCGGAACAAGGCCGAGATTCAGATCCAAAAAGCTTCTTCGCTCAGGCCAAATTCCAGTATCAAACAACCCAATAATCACATCGGACCCATAATCGGATTCGGACCAGAGACCTCGCTGGTTTCTCAGGTCGAGAAATTGGGGTGACCGAGTTGTGTGGAGTTGTCTCCGGCGATCTGCGAACGTGGCCAGAATAGAAGGGTGTTGAAGGACGTAACCGGCTTGAGAAGTAGTGAGAGCAGCAGAGAAGCCATGGAAGACTGTGTCGTACACGTGAAGGATGTTTACTGAGTCGGTGAACTCAGAGGTCATGAGCCGAGTGAATCCCAAATACAAATTGCATGTCATGATAATATCAGCCAGGGTCACAGCATGCCCAACCAGGTAAGTGTTTGAAGCCAAATATGTATTCAAAGCACCAAGACCTCTCTTCAATGCAGAAATAGCAGCTTCCTCAGCTGGAGGAAGGTAAACAGTGTGTCCCATTCTTGGTCTAAACCAATTCAAAATATTAGCGTCAACCTCCAGTGATGCAAAGTCAATCCACTGCTCAACATGGGCACATTCTGTTAACGAAGAGCCACAAAGAGGATTGTCAGACTTCAAGCGAGCAACATATCGTGCTATGGCATTGCTCTTAAAGATGGGCCCATCAGGAGTTTCCAGCACAGGAACCTTCCCAATAGGGTTCATCTTAATAAACTTTGGGGTTTTATTTGACACACCCATCTCAAAATTCGGGGCAAGTTCAACTTGGACACCACTGTACTCTGCAGCAATGAGTGTCTTGAAAGCATTTTTGTTTGTTTTCCCTGCATGCAAGATCAGCGCCATTTCTTAAGGGAAAAACGATTGCTTTTTTTGATATCGGATCGTAGAGTACGAGCGATCTTCCGAAAACAAGAAGCTTTGCGAGTGAAGAGAGAAAGGAGAGAGAGAGAGAGAGCTTAGAGTTCTCTTCTTGCAGAGTTACGGCTGTGGAGAGTGGAAGGTATGTGTAGAAAATTCCAGCGGGCAGCAAAGGCAAAGTTGCCAGCCGGCTGCCCGCTGGTGAGAAAGAAATACAGGCCTAAATCTTATGGCTCTGATACCATGTAGAAATTTAATGTATAAAGAGAAATAGAGAATTGTATTATTGATTGATATAATGTTATATATATTACAATGATTCATGATTCCTATATATAGAAGATGGTGAGTGTGTAGTAGGTAAGGAGTAGGTGAAGTGGAGGTGGTAGTGGTGTATTAGGTTTAGTGGAGTAGGTGAGGTGGTAGTGGTGTAGTGGGTTAGGTTTAGTGGATGAAGTAGGTGGAGAGTAGGTGGATTTTAACAGATTATTCTATTCCTCTGGTCAACAACACAAACAAAATGGAATAAATTTGAAAAATTGAAGAGAAATTTCTGCTGCATGCTTAGTAGCTGTTTTTCTTATGTTTTTAAAAATGTTTTCCCTTGTGTGGAAAATTTCACTTTTTATATTAAGATAGGTTCCTTTTCACATTGGAAGTTTTGGAATTAGGTGACAAATTAACTTCATCAGAATTGGACAGTTTTGAGTGAAATTTTAATATAGCCTAAAGTTGAGAATTTGTTCTTGTTTGCATGTGGTTGTGTTTTGCACTGAAATTACCATGGGTGACTACTCAACCAGAGCATGCAACATTTCCTTGTACGGCCTGCATCTGGTTGTGAAGATTGTTCTCGTCGAGGTTGTAGACCTTAGTGGTAACCTAAGAAGCACAAAAATAGACATGTGATGTGACACAACACGGACATGCCGACATGGAAATTTTCAAAAACATGTAAGACATGACACATGGGGGACACGTACAAAATATGTAATTTTATTTATTATATGTCATATATATGAATATATCATTCCAAAACAATAAATAATGAAATATAACGCTAATTTTTATAAATTGATGTTTTTTTTTTTCCCTCTTTATCATTGTATTCTAAGTTATTTTGTTTTAACTTATAATTAGTTTTGTGCGTGTCTAATCAATGGACACGTGTGTTTAAGCAATGGACATGTGTGGCCTCTTTTTTATTCTTTTTATTTTAAATAAGACACAATTGGATGAGTGTCGAACACTGTGTCCGATGAGTGTTGGTGTCCGACATGGACACACCACCTTTTTAGAAGTATCCATGCTTCTTAGGTGGTAACCTCTGATTTGCATGGTTGGTTTAATTTTAGATCAAATCATGGTGGATTTTGTATTGGATGCCATGTCCTGTAAGCCACATAGAACATAATTAGCATCTTAGTGTATTAATCACATAGCCTTCATGCTATGCTGGTGGTAGGTGTTGTTTTCAGGGAGTTGGAGATGTAGAGGGTGATGCTTGGGAGGTCGTTCGGGAGAGTGGGTGTGCAACTGTACAGGAACGATGAAAAATTGTCTCTTAACACGTTGAAGTGGTGACTGCTTTTATATAGCTAATGTTCAGTTTTCTCTCCAGTTAATTTTAATCATTTCAACATTTCCATGTGTTGGTGCCATTATAATTAGACATTGCTTTTATTTTATAAACAGATAGGGAGTACATGCGATAATCACTATTGTAATTAGACCTTCATATTTTAATCAGGTAAGGAGTACATGCAGAAATCACTGCTTTTTGAAGAAAAAATAAATAACTACCAAATATTTTGTGCACACATACTACAAAATATTTTTACTATTAATTAATAGTTAACTTTTATTTGTCCCCAGAATATTGAATAAACTTTTATGAAATAGGGTTATTCTTATGTTTGCAGGGATATATGTAAGGAGATGCAATATTAACTTGAAGAGAGAAGTTCCTTTACTTTCAGTTTCTCCTTGCCAATTGAAGATGTCTGGGAACAGTAAGGCTATTGACAACGATGGTCTAGAAGTTGTAGGAAGCCAAAAGAATCGTAAGACCAATGATGTACTTCTCAAGACAAAATCAGACACTAACATGGGTATAATTGAATGGTCTACCCATGAAAGAGTTTTAGCAGCTCTTTCTAATGGATTACCTAGTAACAAGGATGAAGAGGCTGCTACCCAGTCCATCATTAAAAAGGGATTGCACAATCTTTTGCATGCATGGCATTCTGCTCACCTTCATGCCATTGCTTCAAATGCAGGAGTGGAAGTTAATTCATTAGTTTTAGGAACTGAAAGTTTGCTTCACTTTGTTGTTAAGGATTACAGTATTGGAAAACATGGAAAGGTGCAGACATCGTCTAATTTTTCTTTTGGAATCACAAACAGAATTGGAGAACCATGGATTGACATCCTATATGTTCTGTCTATTTCTGAGGAACCTCTGCATGATGACAAAGTTTACGCATATGAATTTGTATTTGACAAAGGAAATATGGGGGACAATAACCTGAGTAGCTCAGAATTGTTGGTTGGAAAGCTGAGTTTGGGTGACCCTGTATATTTTTGTTCGGTCAAAGAAAGAACCTCTAACAAATTCTTTAGTCCAAAAATTTCCTCCTTGGGATGGATGGGCACTGCTGCTTCTGATATTATGAATAGTAGGTATTTTCTCCTTAACATTTCTGTATACCATTATGCTTTTAGTTGCTTGATAACTCAAGAAATGCAAAATTTCTGCAGTTCTTGAGTGACTGAATTTTCTTTCTTTCTTTCTTTCGTTCTTTCTTTTGGTTAGAAATCCATACATCTAGCTGAAAACATGTATTATATTGACATAATTAAAGAGAAATTCAAGTGTTCAAATACAATCCCACCATCGTCATTACGCAATTAGTACAGACATAAGGTGTTCAACATCCATTGGCCCAAAATACATTATATTGGCTAGGGCTGCACAAATATCCGAATAACCCATTCTACCAGACTGACCCAAGAGACATGGACGGTTTCGAAATTATGTACAGTCGGCAACAGACCTGAGGATTACATATTTTTTAGTATTGGTTCGAATTGTGGGTTTGAATAGACCAAACCTGCCGAACCAAACCCGAATGAATATTATAATAAAAAATCCTTGCCCTTCCATGTATCGTCGTTTCGTTGGTGCTTTTGATTTCTTTTGTCTTCTGGAACGCCCACGAATGATGAGATTAGGTAAAAGTCTCTTCTTTTTTTATTTCCCAAGGCAGCTGTTTCATCTCTTTCTAAGAAAGAGAGATTGTGAGCCACCCTCTCTATTCAGTTTTCCATTTGTGCACAATATAAAATGAGTCGAAAAAGCAATTTAGGAAGTTGCCTTTCTATTTGTGAAGACTGCATGTATCCCAAGTTCTCTCTTGAACTTCCTAAAATTTCCCATTTCTTTTGAAGTTGCTGTAAAATTTTGTTGCCTTGTTCCTGTTAATATATTGATCCTTTTAAGGCAGGTTAGAACTGGCAGAGAATGCCTTATATTCTTTGGCTGAAGAATTGGAACACTTGAACGTTTTCCTGCTTTGCATTGGATTACAAGAAATTGCTCAGTTCTTTTCTTTATGTAACTGCTGTATCATACCATGCCAACAAAAAGGGCATTCAGTTTTTCCTGACCTAAATTATCTTGGCCATCGTTCGTTAGAAGAGTTAGTGATCTCAACTTTTTAACTGGGTCCTTAATGCAGACAGTAGTCTTCTGTGATACTGTTTTTTTTTTTTTATTAATTTTTTTTTTCTGATTAGTGCTATGTTTTAGTTTATGATTACTGTAAGCACCCATTCTGCCATCTGATGAAGCTTGGATCTCCCTAACATTCTATCTTTTCTACCTGCAGGGTTGATTGTGGTATTATGTCCTGCTTCTGGGGGGATGTTGAGTAGTTATAGTCTTCCTTTCCCTGGACATGTTCTAATACATGGACCTACTGTGAGTTCTTCTCTTCAATTGCCAAAATTTCTATTTGGTAATATAATGTTTGCTGGTGAAGGAAAGGTTCCCATAACCAGCAACATAAATATCATGGACATTGGTCCAATGCTTATTGTGCACTTTACATATTTCTGAGACATAGTTATAACCTTCTTTGTGCATTCTTGGTGTTTAGAGCTCATATATTGCTTCTCAGGATTAATAAAATTTCTGCCTAGGTAATGCAAGTTTATATTTTGTCTTGACTTGTGAATAAGGGTAGTTATAGAGGACATAACTAAATTTTATGTTCTATTTGGTGGTCTGGAACATAACTGTATGTGTTCTAGAATTTGTGCTGAATAAAAATCAATTACTTATCAGTACTCTGTTATAAAGCACTTGGATACTTTTAGAGTGGAGTCGTATTTGTATTGAATGCCAAAACTTCTTGGATATTAGCGGATATATGTTTGACACTCAAATTATCCGTGGTGTAAAAATAAATTTTTGAAAAGTATCCAATGCTTCTTATAAACTCTAGGATATCTATCATTGCATCCCGAATATTGATGTGCTTCATTCATAAAATATAGCATTAGAGTACAATTGTATGAAAAACAAAACAAAGTTTTAAATACTTTTATACTGTTTTCCATAGAAAACATCTTGTGGTTGTGATGTGAGTGATTCACGCGTAGGAAACTTCTAACCAAATAGAAATGTGTGTGATCAAGGGGATTCAGCATTGTTTCTTTCTTTTTCCAGTTGCAAGAACTTCCTATGGCATCTCATTAGTGAAATGCCCTCAACAATCCTCAAAGGTTGAAAAGGATATGGCAATGTGGCCCACAGATATAGACAAATACAGAACAAAATCCTCACATTACTAAAGAGGTCCGATGTGTGGGTCACAAGGTAGCGCTTGGATGCCCTATGACAGTAGCACCAACGCCAACCATACTGCACATGTCAGCTAGTGTGAGAGGATTAACACTCGTCAAACAATGCCCAATGCGTGTTGGGCACACTATCCAAACTCTCTCTTCTCTTGCTCTCATGATATACGGTTAGGGTTCCGATCGAAGTCCTTTTGGGTTCAATCTTTGATTTTTAGAGCTTGTGATCCTTGTTTTCCTTTACTTTATATGACTTTTGTTTTTTCCATTTCTCTTTTCCATTCGCCTTCTTCCTTTTCTTTTTTGTTCTTTATTTGGTGGCTTCTTTTGCCCTTGGCTTCCTCTTGATAGTGTGGTTTTCCTTTTCCTTTTGCTTCTCTTTTTTTTTCATCTTGGATCCTTGTTTTGGGTTTCCATTTGGGTTGTTGTCGACTTTCTTATGTTTACGGTTAAGCTTTTCCCATAATTTCTCTGTGGCTTTTTGTGGTATTTCATCTTCCTGTTTTGATTAAGTGACATGTTAATTATGGGGTTTGTTGGTATCAGTAAGGATGGAGGGTTAGGTTTGGAGAAGGGGATCCAAAATGGCAGCGTTTTGGATGGGGAAGATTTGTAGAGGGTTTGAGAGTTTCTAGAAAGTGTTAGAAGGGAGGTGGGGTCTTGTCTCAGGGGGTTTGGGATTGTTGAGTGGAAGGGGAGGTTTTGTTGAGAGAGGGAAGAGGTTTTGGATGTCTTAATTGTTTGGTGCCTTTTGACCTATTAGTTAAAGCTGACGAACGAAATGAAAAGGTTTAATTGTGTAATTTCCATATGTTCATGTTTATGGCATTCATATGCTGATTTAAGTTGAGTGGTATATTACAAAGTTACTTCTTGAAATAGTGCACATATAATGCAATTATAATCAATGCTATACATAATCCCATTTCTTGCCTCATTTTCTCACTCCTAGATACAAAGCAATGGGACCCACATTCATAAATGCATATGGGACCCACTCACTTGTGTCTTGGAGTGAGAAAGGAGGAAAGAAATAGGATTCTTTGTAGCATTTTTCTACAATTATCTACCTATTTTTCTACAATCTACATACTCTTTTTGTTTTTATTTTTTCAATTTCTCTGTGAGAGTGGAATAATTGTTGTGAATCTTGATGTTTAACATTGACACTGAAAAGAAAAATTCTGAACTACTATGGGTTTTCTATCCATTTTGATAGTGCAGCACCATAACTGTTAAACATGCCTTAAAGAAAGTAGCATTATGGTTTAAATTTTAATATGATTGTCATGTTCCTTGTTTTAGGGTTCGGGGAAAACATTATTAGCGACAGCTGTTTCAAAATCTGTTGAAGAACATGAAGACATCTTGGCTCACATGTATGGAATTATACAATACATTCATATATTGTCTAGTTTATAATGAAAATGTTTGTTCAATTTCTAACAATATGACAGTAATTGAGACTTCATTGATTATTTTTAACTTCTTGTTTAGGCTTGATTGTAAAATCTGTATTAGCATTCTAATGAATATTTGTAATTCCAGAGTTTTTGTTTATTGTTCTAAACTTGCGTTGGAGAAGTCTGCGACTATTCGGCAAGCACTTTCTGGCTATGTATCTGAAGCTTTAGATCATGCACCTTCAGTTGTCATTTTTGATGATCTTGATAGCATTATATCATCCTCCACCGACTTGGAAGGATCTCAACCTTCTTCTTCCGTCATTGAGCTTGCACAGTTTCTTACAGATATTATGGATGAATATGAGGTAAAATTTATGTTATAATTTACTCATTCAACATTTTCAAGATGGAAAGAAAAGTTCCTTTTTATGCTAATAAGATTTGTTACTGACTTACTGTGCATTCATCGGTGAAATTGACCGGATTTCTTTATTATTGTGGAACAAAAGCTAGACCATCAACAATTAGATGTTCTAGATGAACTAAAATAAAATTTTCGTAAAGATTCATTCAGCTACCTGTGGGTTGAAGGAATGATGCTTCTATTGTGGTTTTGCTTTCCTCAAATGTGCTTTGGGAAAAATTTGAACCGAGAGACAAAAATAATGAAAATATGAACTTTGTTAAAGCTTAATTTAGCTACATGTGGAGAGTAGTTTGAATATGGAGAGTAGCTTCATTTAGCTACATATGGAGAGTAGTTTAAATCTCTTATGGTGGATTGAGATACTGTTTGTTCTTCTCTAAAGGAAGGGGGTTTGGGCATCTTTAGGCCTGGCAATTTTTAATCAAGCTTTGTTGGGGGAGTGGTTGTGTAGTTTTTCTTGTCATACGGAGAAGTATTGGAGGAGGTGGTGCAGTGTAAATATGAGTGTGTTCGGGGGCTAGACGTCAGAAGAGGTTACTTTGTCCTATGGTGTTAGTTTATGGGAAGGTATAAAAAATGGGTTGGTCTCCTTTTTTGATCACATTTCGTTTGTGGTCAAGAATGTTGAGCAGATTAGGTTTTGAAGCAACAGATGGCGTGCGGATGACAGTTTGGACTACCCATTGTAATATTGCCCGTTTGGCTCTTGATGGTCAGGCTTTGGTGGGTGACTATTTGAAGAGGAAGGATGGTCGAGTCTTTTGGAACATTTTTCTTTGTAGAGGGCTGTTAAAACCTACCATCACCTACTCCACCTACTACACCTACCACCACCTACTACCACCTACTACACACCTACCACTACCATCTACTACCACCTACTCCACTACATCTCCTATATAAGGAGCCCCTCACCATTTGTAATAAACAAGATACATCAATCAATAATACATAAATTTTTTACAAGGGCTAATGATTGGGAAGAAACGGAGTTGTTGGATCTTCTTGGGCTTCTTTATTTGACTTGTATTGGTGATGGTGGTGATGCTGTCCAATGGTTGAGATCTCTCTGTGCAGTTTTGTGTTATCTTGCTATGTTTCTCTGGCCGGTTTAAGGGGATCTTCTTTCCCTTGGAAAGGGGCTTGAAGTACAAAATTCCCGTCTAAGGTGGCCTTGTTTGTTTGGTGTGCTTTGGATGAGAAGATCCTTATTGTTATGATTTAATTAGAAAATGGCAAGTACATGTTAATTGGTATGTGCAAGCATGATGAGAATCTGTTAAGTCACTTTCTTATTCCTTGTGAGGAATGGATTGGTTAGCAAAATAGTAGTTTATTATTTTTAATCAAATTCTCCATTCTTTTGTGGAGTTAAGACTCTTCAGCTACTTCGTGTTTATATTGTTTGAAAATATAACATAACTATAAATGTGTGAGATTTTGATCATTTAGCACTCTCATTCTTCTGGAAAAAATTTCTTTTTTATTTTTGTTTCCTTCTCTGAATAGAATTGAACGAAGTAAGGTATGTATCATTGGGTATTATGGGTACTGAATTGTGAAATAATTTTAGTTACCTTTGGGTAATCACAAAATTGCAGTATATGGTGCCACAACCTACTGTTGTAATTCATTACCTTAGTTTTTCTCAAATGGGGCAACTTAAGCTTCTTTTTACACTGTGCAGGAAAAGCGGAGGAACTCATGTGGAATTGGCCCTATTGCATTCATAGCTTCTGCCCAGTCTCTCACTAATATACCTCAGTCTTTGTGCTCTTCGGGTTAGTTACTCTATGCCTTTAAAGTCCTATTCAATAATGGCTAATAGATAATTTGAAGAGCACTCAAACAGTCTTTCTCTTTGCACTTTTGGTTTTCATATTCTAAACTGTGTATTTTGGAATTCAATTCGAGTCAGGAAGGTTTGACTTTCATGTGCAATTGCCTGCTCCTGCTGTCTCTGAACGTGGTGCTTTATTGAAACATGAAATCCAGAAGCGTTCCTTACAGTGTTCTGATGTCATCTTGTTAGATGTAGCTTCCAAATGTGATGGATATGATGCATATGATCTGGTATTTTGCTCGTTTCAAAGTTTCTTGAATATTTGATTGCAAAATCAACCTCAATTATAAGTTATCATTGTTTTGGTTTTACCTTTATTACTTGATAGGTTTTGTGACACTTCCTTCGATGCTCTTTGTGTGTGTGTGTGTGTGTGTGTGTGTGTGTGTGTGTGTGTTTATAATTATCATGTGCTCTATGGAAAATACTGAATCCATTAATAATGACAGGTAAGCATGTTATGTACCTGTATTTAAATTCCATTCTACAAACCAAATAAATGGAGAACACTATTCCATGATATTTCTTTAGAAGCTTTTGTTCACTACTTTAAAGAGTCGTAGAATATTTGTCGTGGCAACACTGACAAAGTACAATTTGCTTTTCGGGAAACAAGTACGTTAATGCATTTGTAAGGGAATGGATATTCATAGACTTGATTTTCGCCAGAGAGAATCACAATTGATAAAGCAAGTATTGCAAATTTTGGGCATGCGGCAGCTGGTTTGATCAGCCTTTAAGTGGAAATGTTGGTTGCAAGAATATCTTCATAAGTTGGGACATTCCTACTCCGTAATTCTGCAAAGTAGCTCGATGACAGTTTTGTCAGTGACATGCAAAAATAAATAAAATAAAATAAAATAAACGGCATTTCCCTTATGCTGTCATAATAACCGTGGATAAGTTATTTATTTATTAATTTTTTGTAACATGGTATGTGGGTTGCTTACTTGACCTCATCTAGCTGCACTGACTACTACCCTAACCTTATGTTGATCTTAATTGTCTACACCTTCCACATCAATTGTGTAATCTCCTAAGTTGAATGTATAACATTGGTTAGTTTGAGCATCTCTATGTACTACTTTATATGTTGGCTTCCCCCTGAAATTGATTCCCTTTTGACTCCATGGATATCATTATTGCAGTGGGAGTGAAGTAGATATTATTTCTCTTTATTTGTTAAGCGGTTATATTTTATATTTCCATTTTATTACTTTCTTGTGCTTATATAAATATATATATATATATATATATATTCATATTTAACGTTTTCCTGAAGAAGGTGTCTGCTCCAACAATGTTTGAGTTTGCTATATGAATTAGAGAAGAATTTAGTTCAATTTTATTTTCATTTGTTCAGATGGTGGCAGAGGTGTCAGTTATATTTAGTCCATGTTTGTCTTCATACTTAAAATCATGATTAATTGCTCTGCCTTATTATACCTTTGAAGTTTTCGATATTTGATGGATGGTCTTACTTATGTTTTATTGTTCGAGCCTCATAAATTATTTGTATGTTTTTGAATTTGTTCGATATTGGCAATTGAATCTTTGGGCAAATGTGTTGCTGCTTTAGACTCTTTAATTTTTCTACTAGATATATATACTCCATCATGCCATGAAACAGAAATCGTTATAGCAACTTTACTGTTGCAGCAAATACTGGTTGATAGGGCTGTTCATGCTGGGATTTGTCGCTTTTTGTCTTATGATTTGGCTCTTCTAGAACATGAGAAACCTGCTTTACTTGGGGAGGATTTTCTGCACGCAATGCAAGGGTTTCTTCCAGTTTCCTTACGTGACATTAGTAAATCTGCTCATGAAGGCGGTCGTGCTGGTTGGGAGGATGTTGGTGGTCTTACACTCTCATTCTTCTGGAAAAAATTTCTTTTTTATTTTTGTTTCCTTCTCTGAATAGAATTGAACGAAGTAAGGTATGTATCATTGGGTATTATGGGTACTGAATTGTGAAATAATTTTAGTTACCTTTGGGTAATCACAAAATTGCAGTATATGGTGCCACAACCTACTGTTGTAATTCATTACCTTAGTTTTTCTCAAATGGGGCAACTTAAGCTTCTTTTTACACTGTGCAGGAAAAGCGGAGGAACTCATGTGGAATTGGCCCTATTGCATTCATAGCTTCTGCCCAGTCTCTCACTAATATACCTCAGTCTTTGTGCTCTTCGGGTTAGTTACTCTGTGACTTTAAAGTCCTATTCAATAATGGCTAATAGATAATTTGAAGAGCACTCAAACAGTCTTTCTCTTTGCACTTTTGGTTTTCATATTCTAAACTGTGTATTTTGGAATTCAATTCGAGTCAGGAAGGTTTGACTTTCATGTGCAATTGCCTGCTCCTGCTGTCTCTGAACGTGGTGCTTTATTGAAACATGAAATCCAGAAGCGTTCCTTACAGTGTTCTGATGTCATCTTCAGGTTAGAACTGGCAGAGAATGCCTTATATTCTTTGGCTGAAGAATTGGAACACTTGAACGTTTTCCTGCTTTGCATTGGATTACAAGAAATTGCTCAGTTCTTTTCTTTATGTAACTGCTGTATCATACCATGCCAACAAAAAGGGCATTCAGTTTTTCCTGACCTAAATTATCTTGGCCATCGTTCGTTAGAAGAGTTAGTGATCTCAACTTTTTAACTGGGTCCTTAATGCAGACAGTAGTCTTCTGTGATACTGTTTTTTTTTTTATTAATTTTTTTGTGTGCAACTGTACAGGAACGATGAAAAATTGTCTCTTAACACGTTGAAGTGGTGACTGCTTTTATATAGCTAATGTTCAGTTTTCTCTCCAGTTAATTTTAATCATTTCAACATTTCCATGTGTTGGTGCCATTATAATTAGACATTGCTTTTATTTTATAAACAGATAGGGAGTACATGCGATAATCACTATTGTAATTAGACCTTCATATTTTAATCAGGTAAGGAGTACATGCAGAAATCACTGCTTTTTGAAGAAAAAATAAATAACTACCAAATATTTTGTGCACACATACTACAAAATATTTTTACTATTAATTAATAGTTAACTTTTATTTGTCCCCAGAATATTGAATAAACTTTTATGAAATAGGGTTATTCTTATGTTTGCAGGGATATATGTAAGGAGATGCAATATTAACTTGAAGAGAGAAGTTCCTTTACTTTCAGTTTCTCCTTGCCAATTGAAGATGTCTGGGAACAGTAAGGCTATTGACAACGATGGTCTAGAAGTTGTAGGAAGCCAAAAGAATCGTAAGACCAATGATGTACTTCTCAAGACAAAATCAGACACTAACATGGGTATAATTGAATGGTCTACCCATGAAAGAGTTTTAGCAGCTCTTTCTAATGGATTACCTAGTAACAAGGATGAAGAGGCTGCTACCCAGTCCATCATTAAAAAGGGATTGCACAATCTTTTGCATGCATGGCATTCTGCTCACCTTCATGCCATTGCTTCAAATGCAGGAGTGGAAGTTAATTCATTAGTTTTAGGAACTGAAAGTTTGCTTCACTTTGTTGTTAAGGATTACAGTATTGGAAAACATGGAAAGGTGCAGACATCGTCTAATTTTTCTTTTGGAATCACAAACAGAATTGGAGAACCATGGATTGACATCCTATATGTTCTGTCTATTTCTGAGGAACCTCTGCATGATGACAAAGTTTACGCATATGAATTTGTATTTGACAAAGGAAATATGGGGGACAATAACCTGAGTAGCTCAGAATTGTTGGTTGGAAAGCTGAGTTTGGGTGACCCTGTATATTTTTATTCGGTCAAAGAAAGAACCTCTAACAAATTCTTTAGTCCAAAAATTTCCTCCTTGGGATGGATGGGCACTGCTGCTTCTGATATTATTAATAGTAGGTATTTTCTCCTTAACATTTCTGTATACCATTATGCTTTTAGTTGCTTGATAACTCAAGAAATGCAAAATTTCTGCAGTTCTTGAGTGACTGAATTTTCTTTCTTTCTTTCTTTC